CGTCTTCCCCCTACACAGCAGCTGCTGGTCTGAATCCATCATATTGTGGCTAACAGCCCGACACTTACCCAACTGCCCCACCAAGAAGTGGTACAGCCAGAAGGGCCTGCACGAGGATGCGGATGCTCCGTGACGCATGTCGTCCCGGTTGAAAGATGGGTGTAGACATTGTTCCACAGGAAGGGCTCACCATAAGCCCAGCAATGGGCAGACCCCGGAGGCACTGGGGGTCCAGGCCACAGCCGAAAGTCAATCTCCCAAGAGTGAATCCCATGGATTATTTTTTAATTTTCCAGAGGGTATAAAAGTTATGTTTACACTATGTTGTTACCCTGAGGTGCCCGTGGGTAGGTTCCAACTCGTGGCGAGACTCTCCCCGAACAACAGAATGAAATACTTCCCGGTCCTGCACTGGCCTCCCATAGCTTATGCTTGAGACCATCTTTGCAGCCCTGGTGTCCATCCAGCCTGTGGAGGGCCTTCCTCTTTTTTGCTGCCCCTGCACTTGACCAAGCATGATGTCCTTGTCCAGAGGCGTCTCTGACAAACACGTCCAAAGTACGTGAGATGAAGTCTTGCCATTCTTCAAAAGGGACAATAAAAAAACAAACTGAAACTGAAAAAACTAACAGACATAAACGACCCGCCACTCCCCAACCAAGCTGCTGTCTCTCTCCTCCCTCCCAACCAGGCTGAAGAAGTGCCGGGTGTCCGCTGCAGCCTGCGACGACCTGGCGGCTGCCGTGGCGGCCAACCAGAGCCTCCGGAGGCTGGACCTCAGCAACAACAGTCTGGGGCTGCCGGGCATGAAGCTGCTCTCTGCGGGGCTCAGGCACCCTGGATGCAGGCTGCAGAAGATCCAGTGAGTCTCTGTCCCTGGAAATAGGTTCTTTATTGAAAAAAAAAAAAAAGTATATATATATAGATTTCTTGGGAAAATACATATGAGATCACACACTCCATTCGAATGTACCTGTTCAGTTCCATGGAGAAGTCCTGGTGGTACCATGTTGAGGTGTTCCACTGCTGCCCCAAATGGTGGTGCAGCCAACACCCTGGAAACTCTGAGGGTGAGGAGGCCAGGTGATGTGTTACCACAGAGAGTGTGTGCGTCTGGATAGACAAGAAAGGCAAATTCATAGACGCACATATGTGTGTAAGAAAGAATTTTATATACAAGAGTTGAATATTGAGAAAACATCT